ACTTTCTATGTTCCTAATATAAAACTTAGCCCTTTTCACTATGTCTGTTTATATGCTTCTCTCCCCACATGAAAGTGCCTTGCCTTATTCACACCTGATCTCACATCATGACTTTAGAAATGAGGGAATCAGATCTGTGAAGAGACTTGCCCAAGGTCACACAGTGAATGGTGACAAGATCGCTAACAGGACTTCAGTCTCTGGACTCCCAAACCAGAACTGCTTCTCCTGTTCAATCTGACTGGCAGGGAAACTGACGGGACAAAAATAATAAGAATCCAAGTTCCCATTTGCATAATCAGCATATTCAGCATAAAGGAGGTACCTTTTTAGGGGTACAAATGCCAAACAGCACTAACCCCATAATATTCTATCTGCTTTTCACTTAAGCAGAATATTGAGTTCACAGGGCCTGTGAACTAGGAAACAGACCGCCTGTTGCCAGAGTCTCACTCTAAATATCTCCCCAGTGGAACTCTCCACACTGAAATTGCACTCCTAAAGATAAGGGCTTTCTTAGAAGTCTGAAGTGGAAACTCAGATATACTGCAAGAACAGGTAAGCTAGCTCTTATTCTTTAAAATCTTCAAAAATTTAGTTAGATTGGGTAAAGGGAAAAGCCAGGAACAGGGGGTGTCTTCTGGAGGGCTAGGGGCAGGATGAGGCAGCCACACTGGAATATTCTGAATACCCTGATATACTCACACTCACTGACAGCCAGTCACATGATGATGGCTGAACAGGTCTGCTGACCCCATTTCACAGATGATGATAGTGAAGCTCCTGCTGGTTAGTGGCAGAGACAGGACTAGTAGCCAGGGTTTCAATCTTCCATTCTAGAACTCAGCAAGATGGACAGTCGGGTTTCTTTCAGCCTGGTAACTGCTAGCCATCTCAGCTCAGCAATCAGGCAAAAGAGATACATTTAGACAGACGAAATTGTCTGTGAGGTCTTTATCCTCCTGACATGAGGACAGGCGTACCTTCTTCATGGTTGTTGGTCTCTCCTTTCCTTCCTTGCTGTAAAAATCCTCCCTCCACGTGAGAGGGTATAGGACTGAAAAGGGCATACCCTAGGCAGTGGATGAGGGGTCTATGTGGCACATTCTGCCAACAAATTGACAGTTTTACAAACGAACAGCAAGAGATGACAAGTTAAAACATGGGGATTTAAAAGACCCTTTTGTTTCCCCTAAAGCATTTTGTCACTGTCCACCCCTGTCAGCCTGGTGAGTATACACAGAGCAGATCTTGTTATAAAAAAACTAGCAGGCAAAAATCACATTTCCAGATCATACTAGAAGGGATCCTTCCGTATTACTTGAGAGAATAAAATCACAGGTCAGTATAATGGTCTGAGACCCAAGGGCAGTGTGTGGAAGTAGAAAATCATCACTTAGGTTTCTTAATTATACCAGAATGACAATGCCCTGTCTATTGGTTTTGCAGCTCATCAGTGGTCAGCTGAGTTTAGAGCTCAGCTCTCTGACTGTCTGGGCTAATGCTCTCACTGAGATAAAGAGCCAACATTTAAGAGTTTACTCTAGGTCAGACATCTGCTAAGCATTTTACATTAGGTTACTTAATGTAACAAAACTATGAGGCAAGTAGTACTATTATCTCCATAGCTGGGGAAATTGAAAGTTAGCAAATTCTTTGTCCAAGGTCATGGAGCAATCAAGTAATGGAACCTGGGTTCAAACTCAGCTAGGCCGACTCCAGAGCCTACCCATATTACTAAACACAAATCAAGACACCTAAGTATAGTTAACCAGGAATCCCAAAGCCAGACCGGGGACCAGCACATGGCCAGGAACCCCCACCCAATACTCTCAGGTGCATTGCACTGGCAAGGCCCTCCTCTGACAACTACCATGAGCAGGGACCAGCAGGGCAACTACGTCCTGGGTCCTGTTATGGCTTCCTGCTGCCAAGCCTCAGCCTTTGGAACAACCTGGCTCTGGAGGCTCTGTGTGGTATCAGGTAGGCTGCACCCACTCCAGTATCACACCCTAGTCCTGCCAGATGCCGCTCCATTACTATATCCAGTACCCGCTACTTCCACTGGCTTCCAACACCTCAATAAGACCTCCTTCAGTACAAGCTGGTCCATGGCTCTGAGCAGAGCCCATGAGATACTGAAGTGACTCAAAACAGTCCCTCCCAAACAGCACTTACAATCCAGCTAGAGAGCCCACACAAATGCACCAACCTCAGCATGCATAGCTGGAAAGGACAGATGAAACCACCGAACAAGGGGAAGAAAGAAATCTATTTCCCACACCGGGCCTTGCAACAGTTTCATTCAATAGATTAGCTCACAGACTCAGCACAACAATTCTGCAAGTTCACACTCAGAAAGGCACAGAGAGGTCCAGAGGCCTGCAGAGAGTCCAATAAGGAAATGGGCTGGGATTTCCAACCCAGCTCCAAAACTTATGCTCCAAGTGAGGTCTAGGCTAGGCAAATACTGTAGGTAGTATTTTGTGGGGGGTGGGGGGTGGAGGAGGTTTCCAGTGACCAGTTCCTCAAGTCCTAGGTAATGAGCTTACTCTCAGAATTAACCAAGTAACCAACAGCAGAGATATATAAATTCACCTACAGAATGGCCACCAAAGCCAGCAGGACTGGCCAGTAACAGACATTAAAATTCCTAAGGAATCAAAGTGTTTGGCCCTAGAATAAGCAAGCACTGCCCAGGCAAGAGGATAACCTGGCCAGAGAAGTAAGTCAGTCCTTTCTTCTTTGTGCCAGGAATATCCACAACCATGAGCATCAGGCAGAACAAAACTTAAGTTCTCAGCCTTTGGAACAACCTGGCTGTGGAGGCTCTGTGTGGTCTCAGGTAGGCTGCATCCACTTGAGTGTTGCACCCCAGTCCTGCAGCTGTAAACCTCCCAGAACAGAGCCTGGCACATAATCTTCTTGTTGTTGCTGTATACCGTCAAGTTGATTCCGACTCACAGTGACCCTACAGGACAGAGGAGAACTAATCTATAGGGTTTCCTAGGCTGTAATCTTTATGAAGAAGGCCTGGTGGCAGAGTGGATAAGCGCTTGACTGCTAACAGAAAGGTCAGCGGTTCAAACCCACCAGCTGCTCAGCGAAAGATGTGACAATCTACTTCTGTAAAGATTATAGCCTTGGAAACCCTACCGGACAGTTCTACTCTGTCCTACCGGGCCACTGTGAGTTGAAATTGACTCCACAGCAATGGGTTTATGAGTTTTAACTTTTACAGAAGCAGATCTCCAGGTCTTTTCTCCCGTGGAGCCACTGGTGGGTTTAAACCTCTGATCTTTCAGTTAGCAGCCATTCACTTAACTATTGCACCACCAGGGCTCCTTGGCACATAACAGGCATTATGACTGATTACCGAATGAACAGTCAATCCATTCTAGCCTGAGGCAATTCCCAAAGAAGATCTGAGCTAGACAGAGGAAAGAAGGAGAGTTGATGGCTGTGGGCTTCATTTTAAATAAACAACTGGCACCTGGCCTTGAGCATTCTTCTCCTGCAGTCTGGTTCCTACACGTGTGCTCTGAGAGGCATCTATCCCCTGGCGGGTGCCAGAGCCGAACTCTAGATTTTGGTGAAGTCACTAAGATGATGAGGGCTGCCTCGCCCTCTGGCCTACACAAGTCTCCTCTCGGGTGGCCACTAGCCAGCTGGCCTTCCCCAGGCAGCTCCTTCTAGCTCAGTGCTCAGTCTCACCAAGTACACAGTGAGACTGCCTAGAGCTGAGGGTAAAAGAACCAACCACACAGTTTAATACAGTCCAACGCAGGTAGCTACTGAGCATATGAAATGTGATTAGTCTTAATTGAGATGTTCAGTTAGTGTAAAATACACACCAGATTTTTAAAGACTTAGTATAAGAAAAAGAGTAAAAAATAGCTAACTAATAATTTTTATATTGATTACATACTGAAATGATAGTATTTTTTGATATAGTGGGTTAAATATTATTAAAATTAATTTCACCTGTTTCTCTTCAGTTTTAAATTGTGGCTATCAGAAAATGTTAAATGATATATGTAGCTCACATTATATCTCTAATGGACAGTGTAGCACACATGGCAAAACTCCACCTTGACCTTGACCCATTATGTCTTCACAGCATGGCTGAGGGCTGACTTCTCCAAGTGTCAGAAATCCCACCTTAACCTGCATGGCCCTGCCCCACTGTTCTGAAACCTGATTTCATACTCCCCTGAAACACTGTCAGATGTCCCAGGAGTTCCACATACCATCTAATACCTACTTATGAGAAATGAAAAAGTTAGAAGCCAAAAGAAATACAGTGATGTTACAGTTTCAGGTAAAAAGCTGTGAAACTTGGAGAATTTATTGGAAACTCATCAAGCCTTCTGAAATTCCTCCAGAAACATGTAAATTTTCCATTTCTGTCAGTTTCAGAAGAAATCCCCAAAAAGATTCTCTGTAATAAGATATGAACATGAGATTTTATGGTAACCTTTATTACCATCACTGTAGTTTCAATGCAAAATAACGTGTTGTTAGAAAATGCCTTCAATTGCAACTAAAATGAAATAGGGCTCAAATGTGGACCCAGCAGTAGAATCACATCATCACTTTTTTGTTCTTTTGTCTTGCTGGTGGGGGTGGATGTAGATTTGGGGTGGGTGGGATGGGATCACCGTACCCATCCTCTTCTGAGTGTGAGTTCTCCTGCTGGCTTCTGAAGGAGCTAACCCTTCCTCACTGTCCCCACTTCATACCGTGAGCACCAAAGCCTTTAGACGTTAACTGACTTGGGCAGCAAGACGCAAAGACAAGAATAAAAGTCAGATAGATGTTCCTGCTTCTTCCAGGAGGGCTACCACCACATGATCGAAATCACTAGTCATTTTCAATCTTTTAGGATTCAACTGGACCAGACCAACCTAAAGCCTGTTTTCTGTGTTTTCCAGATATGTAAGCACTGTGACCTGAGCAGGAGAGCCCTCCATGACACAACAGAGAACCAAAATACTTACTTGGGGAACTGGCCGAGACCCGCTTCCTGGCCAGGCTATCCTGGCTGGCCTTGTCTGAAGATGAAGAACCCCTCGTTTGGACATGCCTGTTTCCTGGACTCTCCTCTGGCTCTGGTGACTTCTCCATTCCATGGAAATACTTCATGTGATAGTGCAACAGTTTGGCTTTGCGGAAAAATTTTAAACAGTCCACAACCTTGCATCTAAACTTGTGGTCCAGGTCAACAGCTGGTGCTTTAGATGTCACGAAGTCACCTGTTTTCTTAAAAGTATTTGTTACTGAAAAACAAAAACAAAGATCTCTCATATTTAACCTATAGTTATTAAAAATATGTGTCAATACATGGCAATAGAAAGTGAGAGTAGCATGCACAAGCAGCCAGAGACATCAACTGGACTGCCATTACCTCCCAAAATTACTGTTTTGAGGGGATGAATACAACTTGAGATGAAGTAATAGAGACAAAACTGTAATTTATCTTTTCAAAGAAGAGATCAACATGTTTTTTAAGCAGCCATACAAGTTCTCAGGTTGTCACAGACTTGAGAAAGAGAACAGAAGAAAATCCTAAAGAAAACCAGGGACCCAACCCAGCATTTACTACTCAGGAGTTGGAGTAGATTCAGATTCACTACCATCTTGGCACCTGTTTGTGCAGACAGAACTAGGGAATATTTCAATGGGATCTCTTTACCGTATGAAACCTAAGGTATTTTATAAAAGTTTTTGCACAGGGAGCATATAGCTGTTACAAAGGATTTTAGTAATGAGCTTTTAAGATTTCACTATCATGTACTTTGAAGGACCCTAAGACTGCAAGATAAAAGAATCAACTGAATGGAGATGGAAGGAATGAGAAGAAATGTGGAGGACTCAGTGACCAAATTCAGAGACAAAAAATATCCTGAACAGACCTTTCTTGAGTCAAATTTTCCCCAAATGCAATAGTACAATTTCCACTAAAAGTGGGTACCATTATAAACTTTTGGGAAATATTATGACTGTTTTTTCAAGTACAATCCCATAATCAGAAGCAATAAAAACCTAAAGCATACTCTAGGATACATTTCAAAATCATCACTACAGTGTGTGTGTGTCCCAAAACAAAACATCTTATAATCATTTTCTCTCCATGGCAATGGATATAACAGACTCCAAATCAGTAAAAAAGAAAGAGAAGAAAAAGTAATATGAAGTGAAATGGAGTATCTACTTCTCAGATGAATGGCTGTCTAGGGAAAAGTTTGGCAATGGAGAAATTAAACACTCAAACCTCCAATACATGCCCAAAATTCTTAAAAATAAAATACAAACGGTTTCTCTCAAACTTCCTCCTCTTTAGCTTATTATGTTGGACGACATGAACCTGACATTTTTGTAGGTTTAAAAAGGCTCAACCTAATAATTCCTTTTTTACACGACTCTTTCAAAAATCCCTGCAGACAACTCTACTTACTATATGTGTGAACAAAGCTAAGGCCCCAAATCAGAGTGCATCAGCACCGCCTGCTGCCACCAGAGGGCGGCAGCGGTCAAGTTCAGCCACAGTAATCTCAGCCAGACATCCTTTGGCTTGTGTTTGAAGCCCCAGTTTGTAATAAACTTATTACTTATTTATGATGAAGAGGAGAATTCCAAAATATACACATCTTTGAGTTAAAAAAAATTAAAAGTTGAAAATAATAAGGAATTTTAACCAACTCCATGAAGAATTACCATTCTATTTTACACCCAGGTGTATACACACTGTTCATTTGTATAAGACAAAAACAGCACAGCCGCTAAAAGTGTGGTCCCTAGCCAAACAGCGTGGCTCAAACCCTGGCTCCACTACTTAATCGCCTTGCCTCAGTTTCCTCATGTGCAGAGTGGAGATAATAATGGTAACTACTTTACCGAGCTGTGAGAATTAAATACATTACACGTAAAAAACCTAGAAAACTGGTACATAGTATGTGCTCAATAAATGTTGGTTATTATTACTATACAGTAACATTCAGGACTCATGAACAGCCTTTCAGAAATAAGCATGCTCATAAGCAGAAGAGCAGGAGTCCCCACCATCCCAGCCTCAGTCAGTATGCTCTTGCCAGAGCAGCATGGTATAACAGAAGCAGCCTGAGTTTAAAACCCAGGTCTACCCTTTATTAAATGCCTAAATAAGCTATACAAGTTATTTAACAATTGTGATTATCCAGCTTCTCATTTATAAGAGGAAATATCACCTATTTCAACGAGTTGGAGAATGAGTTATAGATAACATAAGTGCTTGGCACAAAGCAGGTGATCAATAAATGGAAGTTATTATTGTTTCACATATAAAATACATCTTTGTAAGCAGGCTTACGTTGTTTCTGGAATACGGCTGGAGACACCTATTGTAATTATCAACCAAGGTGAAACATTCCTTCAACCAGCCCTCATACGCCCTGGCTGTGAGACACATTACCACATAAGCACTTGATTTTGTCTAAACCAAAACCAAACCCATTGCCGTCAGGTCGATTCCCTTCTAAAAACATTAAATCCAAAACTGACCCACAAGATTCCTAGTCTGGTCACATGTGATTCAGAAGGATTGTTACTACCATCTTTCAGGACATCTTACTTTTACTAACGTAGTCCAAGTTTTTTTTGTTTTTGTTTTTAATGGTCATATTATACAGTCTGTATCAGGTTGGTCTACCAAAACCTTGAATTTTGTTTTACCTTTTTAAAACATGAATTAAAGTACATCTCCCTTTCTCCAAATAATTTTGCACAACTATATGTTAGAAGTTACATTTATCCCTAATAAACTCCATCTGGTTATTTTAGTCTAAGAATTTTGTAATCCTACATATTCCTAGTTCTTTATCCAAGGTGATGATAAAGATATCGAGTAGGAAGGGCAGTGCTGTGGACAGCCTTCAATTAATCTACACTCTCTAGATATGCATATGCATGCAAAAGCTGGACAATGAATAAGGTAAACACAAGAAGAACTAATGCCTCTCCAAGACTGTTTCCTCATCATCAAACAGGAATAAGAATACTTATTTCATGTACGTCCATGAGGTAACAGAAGAGAAAACCAATTAACTGCAATAGGTTACATGAACATTAGTGACCACCGCTGTTATTAACTCCACTGATGTTTCCTTAAAACATGCATAATCCTGCCCAGGAGTCCATGTATCAGGGACACAACCTGAAAAATTCTAACATCTAATAGCTCCACTTTATTAATCATACAGGAGTCCCTGGGTGGCACAAACAGTTAAGTGCTCAACTACTAGCCAAAAGGCTGGTGGTTCAAATCCACCCAGAAGTGCCTCAGAACACAGGCCTGGAGATCTACTTCCAAAAGGTCACTGCCTTGAAAACCCTACGGAGCAGTTCTGCTCTGTACACACGGGACGCCATGAGTCAGAATCAACTTGATGGCAACTAACAACAACAACATTAATCTTCAAACACTGAGGTATTAATAGTAATGAATGAAAGTCCAATCAATATGAACAGTAAAATGATGCAACTATCAAAAATGTTCTATATTTTAAAAGGAAGAATTAAGAAATACAATATGCACCATATAACTATGCTAAAGAAAACTCACAAAACAAATATTATGAGCGAAATATAAAATTATGTATAATTACAATATATATGATAATATATTACTTTTTAGAACTCTAAGAATGTAAACAATGAATATTTTGGTTATGGGATTTTAAGTCTTTTTAAAAAACTAGTTTTTTCTACTTTTCCATGTTTTCTAATATGATAGCCATATTATTTTCATAGTAGAAAGAACAACATACATTTTTGTGGTAAAAGAAGTATGGTGATAGAGGCATAGTCAAGAAACCAGGGGAGTCATGGGATGTCAAAAGGGCCTCTTGGGCCATAGTCTACATAAATCCTAAGTCTCACACAGAGGTGTGTGTTCCCCAATGGGAGGACAGTTCAGTTGGAACATATGTCTTGATAGCACCAGCTAAGTGACATCATCCATTCTTGGGATACTATGGTCCTTGTCAACATGGGAGCAGATGCTAGGTAACAGAAGGGCAGACAATGTGTAACTTAAATCCTCAAGGGAGCCTAGTTCAAAAGCTAGGGGTAATCAAGTTACCTTTGGGGTAGAGGGTAATCTATTGAAACCGATTTATTCTTGTTTTATAAAGCTGTGTGAAAATGAATGTTTTCAAGTAGTTACTGGTATTACCATTTTAAACGCTGTGTGCTCTTCCTCATGTGTGACAGATTTTTGTTTAAAGGAATCAGGGCAAAGCGGGAACTCTCTCCTCGGCTCTCAGGCGCAAAACCCCAAGAGTCACGCTTTGCTCCTGCCTTTCCTAAATTACTACTGTACACTGGTATATGCAGAGAAAAATGGTCCGCAGGATTTGATTTTAATAATGGTAACTCTGAGGAATATTTTTTTTTTCCTTCTTTGGGTGTATATGTGTATGTGGCAGACAGATTCTAAGATGTTTCCTGATAATCCCCACCTCCTAGTATCCATACCCTTGTGTAATCCCCTCCCCTTGAGAATACGCAGTACCTGTAACTTGCCTTTAACCAACAGAACATGGCAAAAGTAACAGAATGTCGCTTTTGTGATTAGGTTACATAAGACTGTAATGTCTGTCTTACTAGCAGACACTCTCCCTTGCTGGCTTGAAGAAGCAAGTGGCTACGTTGCAAACTACCCTATGGAAGGGCCCATGTGGCAAAGAACTGAGAGTGGCCTCCAGCCAACAGCCAGCCAAAAAAAATGAGGCCCTCAGTATGATAGCCTGCAAGGAACTGAATGCTGCCAACAACCATGTAAGCCTGGAAGTGGATCCTTGACCAGTAGAGTGTTCAGATGAGAACCCAGCCTTGGCCAACCTCTTGATTGCAGCTTTGCAGAGAACCCAACTAATCTGTCCCAGACTCCTGACCCAAAGAAATCGTCAGAAAATAAATGCGCTATTTTAAGCCACTATGTTTGTGATAATATTGTTATGGAGCAATAGACAACTAATATGGAGTGGGATCAGCACGCTCTCATTTTCTATACACTTGGATAATGCTTTTTTTTTCCCCGTTTATAAAATATATATGTTACTTATACTAAAAAAAGAAAAAGAAAAAAAATTTAACTATGTTTTCTGAAACTGGGTTTAGAAATAAATGTCCCGTTTAACCCTTTTCTGTATATTCATTGCCAGTATCTCAAAATCTCACAATTAGATGACTCTGACGGTGATAGTCTGACATCCAAGTCCATGTCAATCTAAGCACCACT